GGGGGAAACCTAACCTAATGGGCCAAGTAAGCCCAAAATGGGCCCAAAGGGCCGAAACATGCCTAATAGGCTGAAATGGACCTTGTCATTCGAGCTCCAAGCTGGGGCGATGCCTTGGGCTCCTGAACAGTAACGGACCGGGGTAATATACCTCAACACAAGTCCCCCAGTTTCTTGAGTAGTGAGCGTGCGAATCTGCTCGAGAAAGTATACTCTTGTCTACGCTCTTCCTCTGCCTTTTTTGCACGTGACCTCGGCTTTCAGAGCAAAGGCTTAATTCAATGCCTTGGCCTAGGTGCGAGGGATTGGGGCGTTCGGCCCACGGATGCCCGACCCGACTTCCTTTGGACGTTCGACCCTTAGGAACTCGGCCTAGATGTGTCCTTGCTCTTGATGCACGACCCGGTAGCAGACCTCGGAGTCGTCATACAGCGACAATCCTCGGCCTATTCCTAGAGACGTTCGACCTCCAGATGCTAGGTTGGGCTTCCTTGGACGTTCGGCCCCTTGACGGTCAGCCCGTTCGATCTCTCGTTGTTGGGGCTCTGGAATTTTCCTTCAGGATGCTTGGCCCGACATGCTTAGGAAGATTAGTCCCTAGAAACCCGACCCAACTTCATTTGGACGTTCATCCCTAGAAACTCGACCTAGATGTGTCTTTGCTTTTGATGCACGACCCGGTAGCAGACCTCGGAGTCGTCATACAGCGACAATCCTCGGCCTATTCCTAGAGACATTCGACCTCCAGTTGCTAGGTTGGGTCTCCTCGGGACATTTCTACCTCAACATGCTTAGCCTGGGCATGCTCGGTCTCAGGATGTGTTGCGCGCCTCAATGCCCTTGGCCTCCGGGGTGGGGATGCTTGTCCCCAGTCTTGGGCCTCTGGGTGATGGATGTTCGTCCCCGGGCTTTGGCCTCCGGGTGATGGATGTTCGTCCCCGGGCTTTGGCCTCCGGGTGATGGATGTTCGTCCCCGGGCTTTGGCTTCCGGGTGATGGATGCTCGTCCCATGGCCCTTGGCTCTTGGGGTGGAAGATGTTCGTCTCCCAGCCCTTGGCCTTTGGGGTGGAAGATGTTCGTCTCCCAGCCCATGGCCTTTGGTGGTCTTCTTTAGACGCTCGGCTTCTGGGGTGGAGGATGCTCGTCCCCGGGCCTAGGCCACTGGACGATAGATGATCGTCTTCGGGCCCTCGGCATCCGGGGTGAAAGATGCTCGTCCACGGCCCTTGGCTTTTGATAGTCTTCTTTAGATCCTCGGCCTCCGGGTGGAAGATGCTCGTCCCCGGGCCTAGGCCACTGGACGATAGATGATCGTCTTCGTGCCCTCGGCATCCGGGGTGAAAGATGCTCGTCCACGGCCCTTGGCTCTTGATAGTCTTCTTTAGATCCTCGGCCTCCGGGTGGAAGATGCTCGTCCCCGGGCCTAGGCCACTGGACGATAGATGATCGTCTTCGGGCCCTCGGCATCCGGGGTGAAAGATGCTCGTCCACGGCCCTTGGCTCTTGATAGTGTTCTTTAGACCCTCGGCCTCCGGGTGGAGGATGCTCGTCCCCAAGCCCTTGGCACCAAGGTTCATTTTGAGCATCATCTCTTATCTGACTATGATCTTAATCTGCACAATGAACATAGTAACGCGGCCAAATGGCCAGACAATATGTATATGTGCACACTCTGTTTTTTTTTTTTTTTTTTTGTAGGTCGGCTTGGGGCTCTTCCGGGCATGACGGTCGGCCTCGGAGTGTGATGACCTTCGGCCCGGCCCGTCACCTAGTTCTTCCGGATATGAGTTTCCACATTGGGGTACGATGACCCTCGACCCGGCTCATCTCCTAATTATTAAATCAAAAACCCGGTGGAAGCTCATCCCCGAGCTTCGCTCGGCATTATTTAATTCGGGACATTTTAGTCCCTATTAAATAATGGTGATAAAAATACTAGTAATAATAATACTTTAAACTAGTAGATTAATTAATGTACCAACTTAGAAGTGTAGGCACTTAGCTGTAGAATAATGGAGACGTTCGTCCAGGTAACCTCCAAGTGGAATGGGGTGAGCTTCTTTCACCAATTTTGACTTTGATGACATATTTTCACAAGTTCCATGCGCCCCATCCGTTCAGCCAATGGCCCAAATGGAATTCCTCATTTTCATTGGAAGGTTTTTTATTTTATTTAGCCAAGACGTACGTGGTCTAATCTTTAGAGAATTTACTTGAGCATGAAAGGTCCAGCCCACTAACTTAAGATAAGACCCGGCTCGCCGTCTATCCCTTCATTCCCATCCGCAGAGGAAAATTCCTCATGGGAGACGATCTTCGGCTTAAATCAAGACTCAAGAGCCGGGCGGAAATCATCCATAGGCCGAGCTGCGTGTCCCCAGGATGACGGCCTGCCGTTGGTTACCCGAGGGGGATGAGCGTAGGTAGGGGCTGATCGACAAGGTGGGAAATACGTACGTCCCCGGCAAGGCGGCAATCAATTCATCGTTGGACCCGTGGCAACTTCCCGTCGGATGGCCAACTATAAACGCCGAGCAGCGGCTGAGTGTGGGCCGAGTGCGGAGCAGCGGACCGGACTTGGCGGTGAACGACTGCTCCATGGTGGCAGCCCGAGTGTTGTTCGCTATCCAGTGTAGAGGCACGTCTGGTAGCCGGCCTGAAGTCATGCGGTGGGGAGGGACGCCCTTGTTGCTTGTCCACATGATCATTACTCCCGACGCGCGACCTACTGCTAGTAGCTCCTGCCAACTCTCTCCTTCGGCTTGTGGGAAGTCTGTGACCAAGATGGAGGCCGCACGGCTACTGATGCTTACCCAAACATCTCCTTCATCCTTTGAAAACCTTGCAGCGGCTGCGGAGGTAAGCTAAGAAGGGTAGCCGAGGTGTAAGGACGATCGACTAACTTTTGTGGGCGTCCAAACCGGGGTTGCTGACGACGAGCGGCACCGAAAACTGGGCATGCATGTTGGGAATCCATTGCTCATCACGAGGAAGAAGACTTGACTAATACGGAGTAATTAAATAGAATGAAAACAAAAAAGCTACGTACGCGACTTCTTCCTAAGCACATACACTATGTACGCGCCTATGCATTTCTTCCTAAGTGTTTGATTTTAGATCAAATACACAACATATAATTTATTCCTCCTCGGCATTTCCAACAATGCACACATGCATGCTGGGCATTCGGGTAGGGGAGACGAGCGGTGGCCGGCAGGGTTGACTACAGGGCCTGGTCTTCGGCAGGAGACCCCCCCGAGCTTCAAGAGAACCCTCTTCGAGCTGGTGGGTGGTCTGCGGTTGACGGCCGACGTCAAGGGGCGGTGCGGCGACCCAGGCGATGGCCGGTGGCGAAGTATGAGCGATGGCTATGCTGCGTGCGGTGCGGCCTAGGACACTGCTGGAGCTCCATCTGGTGCGGCTCCACTCGCCGAAGGAGTCCACGGCGGCGGGAATGGTGACGGTGGTCCTCGTCACCCCAGCCCAGATCTAAAAACTCGATTAAGACTTCCAGCCTTCACGGCTTCTCCTCCTGGCTTTGCTTCTTTCCTCTCACAATTATTTCTTTCGTTTTTCTTTGCTGGAATCCAGTTCACCCGTATGAATTTTTTTGTAGAAAACTCAAGAATAGTTGAAACACATGAATCTTTTTGAACTGGTTCCCACAGACGGCGCCAGTGTTGAGTTTAATCCAACACGATATAGTAAATATATGTATAAATGTGTATGAACAAGCTCAGTTTTTACGTGGAAACCCGAAAGGGAGAAAACCACGGGACTTTTTAGGCTAATGTCCAAGCCCTCTCAATTCTCATTAGACTCTCCTCACCATTACATAGTACAAGTATTGAAGCTCCCATTAATGGAGTTCTAAGCTATTCTAGTGAGAAGGAGGAAGAAGAAAAGGATCCCTAAACATGTGGGAAAGCCCCATATTTATAGGGGTAAGGGAAAGGGGGAAACCTAACCTAATGGGCCAAGTAAGCCCAAAATGGGCCCAAAGGGCCGAAACATGCCTAATAGGCTGAAATGGACCTTGTCATTCGAGCTCCAAGCTGGGGCGATGCCTTGGGCTCCTGAACAGTAACGGACCGGGGTAATATACCTCAACAAGGTTCCTAGTATTTTCTTTCCGTTGGTCCAAAAATAATCTATTATTTCCCTTTTGACAAAAAAATGTATTTCACGACATTTCTAAAACATTCTTACTCGTTTCTATTCCTACATAGTTTAATTAATATGGAAATTAATAAAATAAAAACTGAATAAAAAAGTGACAAATCTTCATGTCAGGCCGGCCTGACGGGATGCTCCGTCCGGACGAGCCCGTTTGGGCACCTTCCCGGTGGAATTTTTTGATGAAATGTTTTGAGCATGTTCCTCATCAAGTCTAGTTTGTCCATACCAAATTTAAGCTCAAAATTCGATCGGGAAGGCATTCAAATAATTTTGTGAAGTTGACTGCAGTTTTATATGTATATTTTGACGCAGTCAACTTCAAAAAATGATTTGAATGCCTTCCCGATCGAATTTTGAGGTGAAATTTGGTATGGACAAACTAGACTTGATGAGGAACATGCTCAAAAAATTTCATCAAAAAAATCCACCGGTATGATTCCCAAACGGGCTCAGCCGGACGGAGCATCCCGTCAGGCCGGTCTGACATGAAGAGCACTCTAAAAAAGTTTCTCAATTTTGACAGTTTTGAGTGACCATGGAAATAAAAAAACATGACAGCGTGCTTTTGAAGACCTGAAGACCTGGAACATACCTTATCTCTAGACTGAAGACCAACTTACACCATCGCTCCTACTGTGAAACCATGGCCGGCGCGACGGCGGCAACCGCGATTGGACCGGTAATTACAAACAGACGCACAACTCCTTCTACAACCACCAGTGAACGGTTCTGTCTACACAAGGTCTCATGTCTATCCGGTTTCTCTCCCACTCGCTCTCTCCGGGTTGTCGCTCCCGGACGAGCTCGTCGCGGTGCCATCAGATGCACGGCCAACCGTTCTGCCTATTCGCCTCTGAAATCCGGTTCGAGTTCCGGTAACCGGCCGCCAACAGAGATTGCACCGCTTTTTCCCGGTTGCGACTACGAGCACTGGCTCATAGTCATGGATAAACCAGGCGGAGAGGAAGCTACCAAGAAGCAAATGATTGATTGTTACATTGAAACCTTAGCCAAAGTTGTGGGAAGGTATTGAGCTTGAATGGTTTGCAGTTAAACACTCAATTGTTGTTGTCTTCATTTTCTAGTTTGAAATGTAGTTGTAAGTTCTTTTATGTATGCCAGTGAAGAGGAAGCTAAGAAGAAGATATACAATGTTTCCTGCGAAAGGTACTTCGGATTTGGTTGCGAGATTGACGAGGAGACATCAAATAAGCTTGAAGGTAGTGTTTGGATTCCAATAATCTAGTACTCCTTACTTCTTTTTTGAAGGCAGGACGCATAGTATATATTCACATTGTTTTGTGAGGTATATGCAGGATTGCCTGGAGTTCTCTTTGTTCTTCCAGATTCATATGTTGACCCTGAAAACAAGGACTATGGAGGTATACACTTTGTCTGACTGATACTGTGATAGGGATTTATGTTTTTCTATTAAGTTGGAAACTTGCTGTATATTTGTTGAAGCTATTCATTTTACGCGTTCTTTTTAATCAAAGACAAATAAATAACGCAACTTTGCCACACCATTCGCGCCATTAAGCACGTTGATCTGCATGTTGTATGGCTAGGTCTAAGCATTCAATAGATAACAAAAGAATTGGAAACCTAGGATATATGCTTGTTCTAATCCCAAATGGAAGATCTGAAATTAGAACCTTTCAATTCAATTCATTCTTCATGTTTTCCAATTGGCACTAAATTTATGATGTTAACTAATTTTGGATAGTTAATTGACACTACAAATTTCAATCTGTCCACCTCAATATAGCTGGGATTAGGCTGGTGATGATGTGACTGTGCTTAAAGACTAGTTGCAACTTGCTACTCTTAATTGGAGCCCATTTTATTGTTATTCCTGCCTTTTATTCTGCCAATCAGCAGAATAAGTTGCTTTATGAGTTATGACTTGTTTGGCTCAATTTAGTTTTACCAATTGCTTTTCCTTTTGCGAAAAACAGCAGTTTCAGCCATAGAGGTTATATAACTCTAACAGAAGAGACACTTAGCCCCCCCCTGTCTCTGTGCTTACTAGTGTTAGTTGCTTAACTGCATTTATCAAATTTCGTTTTTGAAATGATTGCTGAACGCCGCACATCATATCTTTATCCTACTTTCCACCTTAGAACCTTGCTTCTGCATTGCATTTTTAGTTCTTTATTATAGTTTCTGAACAAGGGTGAAGAGCCTTTGTTGTTCACATTGAGTTAGTTTTTACATGGTGGATTTTTGCAGCTGAGCTCTTTGTGAATGGAGAAATAGTTCAGAGGTCACCTGAAAGACAGAAGAGAGTGGAACCTGTCGCACAGAGAGCTCAAGATAGGCCCAGATACAATGACCGGACTCGTTATGTTAGGCGCCGTGAGAATGCACCACAGTAAAAGGCAAAATTATTTAGTTTAGGGAAAATGTATTCTTGTTCTCATGTATGAAACCCTTTCCAGCTAACATATTTCATCATGAAAAGATAATGTATGCTACTACTTAGTTCTGTGTGTAAAAACAACCCAAACATGCATGCAACAACAGTTTAAACCTCCCATAATGATCGTGAGGTCATTACAAAGTTTAGATGCATACCAGTCTGCTTACCCCCATTAGGTGGATGATCATTTTCATGAAAATGACCACATTGGGTCATCAGCCGTTGCCTAGTGTGATGACCATGTTTGGATGCAATCATGCTAACAACGCAGTAGGAGAATTAGGTATCAGTTTGCATTATGTGTTGGGGGCATGACACACACATCTCATGCTGGTATCTTGGACAGTGTTCGGGGTTGACAAGTTTCTAACTACAGACCAAACCGGTTGATGTTTTACCCAAATTTGCACATCAGCCACTTGTAGTTCCCTTGTCCGGTTCCTGTTTTTCAAAGTTAGCACTCGATCAGCAACTTGTGGTCCGAGTAACAAATTTTCAAGGTTGTGAAGTTGGGTAGAAACAAGAATCGGACCAGAACTATCTGAGTTCTCAACTTTGAGAGTTAGAGGACTAGGGATGGACCCGGGCCGGGCCGGTTCCGGTTCCGGGCCGGGCCCGGGCGGGCTTTTTTTCGGGTTACATGGGCCCGGAACCGGCCCGGGTTGATACCGGGTCCGGGCCTAACCGGGCCGGGCCGGGCCGGGCCCGGTTCAATGTTTTTTTTTTTTTTTTTTTTTTTTGACTTTCTTGTTATCTCCCTACCCCCCCCCCCCTCACCCCCACGCCCCAAACCTCCCTAAAACACCCAGCCCTACCCTAGGAAAAGAAAAAAAATTGAAAAAACCAAAAAAAAAAAAAAAAAAATGAACCGGGCCCGGCCCGAACCGCCCGGGCCGGTTCAACAAAAACAGGGCCCGGAACCGGCCCGCCCGACCCGCCAAAACGGGCTAAAAGCCCGGAACCGGCCAACCGGGCCCGGTCCGGTCCGGGCCCGCACAGTAGCGGGCCGGTCCGGTTCCGGGCCGGTTCGGCCCGGCCCAGTCCATCCCTATAGAGGACTAAGGATGTTTTCTTTTGGATTGTTTTCAGTCCTAGACCAGACTTAAACAGACCGGATTGGAATTTGAGAGTAATAAAATACAGACATCAGACATTTACCAGACTAGTTTGGATCAGACCAGATCAACAAATTTCATTTCATTTCAAAAGAAAACATCCTAAAATTGGATGGTGCCAACTAGTCATGGACCCGGGTTGGGCCATGCTTTTTTTGGGAAGAAAGGCCCGGGACCGGCCCGGGTAGCCACCGGGGCCGGCCCGGGTAGCCACCGGGGCCGGGCCGGGTAGCCACCGGGGCCGGCCCGGGCCTCCGTTTTTTTTTTTTTTTTTTTTTTTTTTGCATTCCTACCCCCCACCCCCCAAAACTCCCAAACCCTTCCTAACCATCAAGCCCAACTTGGGTGGAACCCCAAAAAGTGAAAAAAAAAAAAATCAATTAGGCCCGGACCCCACCCGGCCGGGCCGGTTCACCAAATACAAGGCCCGATTCCGGACCCGCCCCCCACCGGGCCTAGGCCCGACCCGGACCCGGACCCGGACCCGAGAACCGGGCCGGTTCTGGGCCCGCACAGTAGCGGGCTGGGCCGGTCCCGGGCCGGGCGGCCCGAACCGGGTCCATGACTAGTGCCAACTCGTTCTTGGGTGCCACCATAGCCAGTTTAGTAGTGTCAAGTCAACTACACTTGCAATGCATAGCCAGCTTAGTTTGGTAGTACACTAGTACCATACTACCAACTAGGGATGGACCCGGGTCGGTCCGGTCCCAGTTCCTAGCTGAGACCGTTTGGTCCCAAAAAAATTTGCTTCGGCTTGGGTCCGAGGGGTCCGACCCACTTTGTTCCGAGCCTGGGCTGATTCCGAGTACTCGGACAGTCGGACCTAAATTTTGTAATTTTTTTTAATTTGTTGCCCGGTTGCCGGTTGGAACTTGGAAGCCTAAATAAATACTGGGTCGGGACCGAAACCGGTATCAGCGCCCGATTCAGTGCTCAAAACTGTAATCCGGAACCGCCCGTGAACCGTTCTAGGACGAACACGGTCCCATGCTCAAAACCAAAAATTTCAGACCGCTAACCGAAAATTTCGGACCGCTGGGCCTGGACCAGGTCTAACCCCTACTGGCTACTACCCACCATAGTTTCACCTTAAATTCATTCTCAACAAATGATCCTTAATCAATTAATGGATGATCTGCACTGACCATCAACAATAATTAATATTATACGTAGTAATAATAAAAATAATAATAACAATAATGCCAAGGCAGTCAAAAATCACAAGCAATAAAACCTACATTATACATCAGAAGAAATGAATCATATATTCATATACAAGAAGATTGATGATGATTCATCATTAGAAGGGATTCAACAGGTGCATCAAGTACAGAAGCAGCTTAAAAACATTCGGCAGTTTTAATGCCGAGCCAACACCATTATACATCAGAAGAAATGAATTATATATTCATATACAACAAGATTGATGGTGATTCATCATCAAAAGGGATTCAACAGGTGCAGTCTCTTCAAGTACAGAAGCAGCTTCAAAACATTCGGCTGCTTCTAATGCCGACCCAACACCACTTTCTTTGTAGAGTAGGCCCAGATTATACCACACCGAAGCATTCATTCTGTCAAGCCGCAGAGCTTCCATCAGAAAGCTTCTAACAAGTAATGGAGATTGGTCACCCATCCGCCTGAGGACCAAAGCAGTAGAGACTAGACTTGGGACATGAGTTGGAACAACAGCCAAGGCATTGTTATACTCTCTCATAGCTTCTTTATATTGTCCCTTTGCTTCATGAAGCAAACCTGAGTGTTGCCCGCAAAGTACAATCATCATCACCAATCATAAAGAAGACATAAGTATGTTTAGCCAAGTCTGAGAATTAATATTAGGATTAAAATCACATTTGTTGTCTCAAACTTTATCCCTCTTATCACTTGGGTCTTCAAACAACAAATTCTCACATTCTACTCCCAATCCTTATAGATCATTTATGGTGTTTTCCATGTGACATCTCATGGTTTTTGCTTTTCTACAAATCATTTAAACGAACTTATAAAATGGAAAAAAACATGTACATAGAACTTTTAATGACTAATTTAGGTTTATTTTTCTATGAAAGTAAAATAATATTTTGTTTCATATAGGTGTTAATGGTATAATAATATTTTGTACGTGTTAGTCAATTGCTATTTAGGTTTTTTTCTTACTAGTTAAATATTTATTACTATTGGAAAATAGATACTAGATACGGAGTATATGTGTGTGCATGAAACTGTGAAAGTGATGCATGTACTACAGAAATTAACAGAGTATAGACTTTTTATGAACTAATTTAATTTAGTTTAGTAGTATAAAAATACCATGTGGTATGCCATGCGGCTGATAAGCATTTCATGTGGCATCTCATGGTAAAACGGAAGGAAAATTTAATGCAAGGAATGCTATGGTGTGAAATATAAAATTTGGGTATCATATGTTTAGGGTTATTAGTTCAATGACCAAAATGATACGAGGGAAAAAGTTTAACAATCAAATATGCTTTTAAACCTTATTTTGATAGGGAAAAAACTAAAGTTTATTAGAATTAAAGTTACGTACCAACAGTATGCAACCTAGAAGCTGAATAGTGACTAATAGTTTTTGCCTTAGAAAGACAGATCTCTGCATCCTGCCATTGAGACAGCTTAATGTACATGCAAGCCAGATCAAGCCAGGTCTCCATCTGCAAAGCTCGGCACTGGTTTTGACCATCCTGTTCCATGATGTTAGTACAAGCATGGAGTGTCATTACTTTTTATCTTCTTTCACCAAAATTAAAGAGTAAAGAGTAGAAATTGGCTAATATTTTGGGTGAAAAGATTGATGAGCTGAGTTTATCTTTAAAAACATTTGAAATAATTTTTAAATAATAAAGAAAGTGTTAAGGAATATGATAAACAAGGCCAAAAGTTTCATTTTTCTTATCCGTGTCATTCTTAAGAAAGTTCCATTTTTGCAATAATTATTTCACCCTGCTTAATAAAATACCTTGGGATTTCCCATTGCCTCAAAGCTTTTGGACTGAACCTGAAGAACGGCAAGCAGCTGCGTATATGTTTCCATGGCATTTCCCACCTGACCCTGAACAATCTGGAGTTTAGCTTTAAATCTTAACAGCCCCCCCTGATCCCACTTCCCGGTCTGATCAAGAGCTGCATTAATTACACTTTCGGCATCCAAAAACCGTTTTTGAGATGATAATATCTGAGCCAAAAGCACCCATCCTTTTACACTAGACCCACCTTCCAACTTAAGGAAGCGTTTGGCATAATAAAGGGCGGCATCCAACTTTCTCTGCTCAGCATTTTCTAAACAGAGATTGTAAATGATATTCGAATTTTCCATTCTTGTCATCCTCCCAGCAGTCTCAAGTGATTGGAGTGCCTCATTCTTTATCCGGTGGGCCCTCTCAGAATCTGGAGAAAAAGACTTAGAATGAGCTGAGAGTGAAAGCCCTAATACAAAATTGCCCACTCCAAGCAACTCATCACATTTGTTCTCTTTTAAGATTGCGATTGCTTTCTGAGCAAGCTCCACACCCTCTTCTGCATACTGTGCACTCGAACTACATATCTTTGAAGCCAAGAGTAAGGGTAAAACAGATTTTCGGCTCTCTGTACTTCTTCTTATCAACTTCCGCAGCAAATTCAAAGCAGTAACGTCTTCTTCACCTTCTTCTCCATGATAGCAGAGAGAAAGTATGTAATACATTTCTCTCTGGTCTATTGTGTGTGGAGGCAACTCCTCCACCTGGTTGGCTAAAGATATCAGTCCCCCAGAAATGGCCAATGCATATGTCAGATGATCCATGATTTCAGGGTCCCACTCAATTCTTTTAATAGATACTTTTCTTAACAGGATGACCAATAGAAGAATAGCTTCTTCAATGTTGTTTCCAGGTACAAAGGAACTGTCCATTTGGGAACGAAGATTGGGGGGATTTGATTCGCCCCCACTGTACAGAAGGAAAACAGCAAACTCTTTTTGAATCCTTGCAATAGTTGAAGCATCAAGATTCCAGTGATGAGAAAGGGATCGCCGGTATGAGATGATCGTTTCAGAGGGA